ATCACTTCTAATCATTTTGATTTTTTTATTTAATCGATTCTCCACTTCATTCTTGTATTGCTTAAATGCTTCAATTGCTTCATCCTTACTATTAAGCAAATAAATATAACAATATCGAGTGCAATCGTCAATAAAAATAATAAAGTAATTTTTCCACCTCGAGATGGTGTCGACTTCATATCACAAATATCAGTATGAATTAAGTCTAAAGGACTTGAATTCATTTCAACAGACTTATAAGGATGCTTTACAAACTTAGATTCAACACATACTTGACATTTTGATTTATTACACTCGAATTTAGGCAATACTTCTAAATTCATTAACTTCCGCAAGGTTTTGTAATTGACATGTCCTAAACGAATATGCCATAAATCATTTGACTCCAATAAATAAGAAGAAGCTGAAATTTTATTCATACTGTCAACAACCATTACATTGAGTTTGAGAAGGCCCTCTGTGAGGTAGCCTAACATACATTTCATTCTTGCTTACAATAACTTTATCAGGAAAAAAATACACATTTGAGTCCAATCTTCGCAAGTAAAGAAGTAGAAACTAAATTCTTCCTAATAGTAGGAACATGAAGAACGTTGTTGAGTGTTAACACCTTACCGGAAGTTATCTTCAGGAATATCTTCCCATAACCTTAAATCTTGGTTGTTGCATTATTTCCTATGGAAAGCTCTTCTTTGGGACCAGCAGTAGAGTAAGTCGCAAATGCTTCTTTGACAGCACAAAACATGTCGAGTGGCTCCAGAATCAATCCACCGCTCCTTCGGGTTTCCAACTAAGTTGCATTCCGAAAGCATTGCACAGATCATCAATGTCATCATTCTTCTCCACTATGTTGGACTGTCCCTTCTTCTTATCCTTTTTGGGGAGACGACAATCAGGGGCTTTGTGACCAACTTTTCCACAATTATAGCAATTGCCCTTGAATTTCTTTTTGTTCTGCTCCTTAGGTTGTCCAAAAGACCTCTTCCTCTTCTTACTTTTTGGAGCTGTCTCCTCAACGATATTAGCTTCCATGATCGTTGAATTTCCACGAGACTTCTTCTCGGCTGTTTTGTTGTCTTCCTCAATCTTGAGACGAATCACAAGATCTTCCAACTTCATTTCTTTGCACTTGTGCTTAAGATAATTCTTGAAATCTCTCCACGAAGGAGGCAATTTTTCAATCATTGCAGCCACTTGAAATGCTTCATTCACGACCATACCTGCAGCAATAAGGTCGTGAAAAATAAGTTGAAGCTCCTGAACTTGGGTTCCAACAGTTTTTGTTGTCTATCATTTTATAGTCTAGAAACTTGGCAACCACGAACTTCTTCAAGCATTCATCTTCAGTCTTGTACTTCTTCTCAAGTGCATCCCATAATTCTTTCGAAGTATTCATCACACTGTACACATTGTACAAGTCATCCTTTAAAGCGCTTAAGATATAGCCTTTGCAAAGAATCTGCTTGTTTCCACGCCTCAACAATCATGAATTTCTCGTTGTCCGGCATGTCCGTAGCAGGTACTGGAGGTTCTTCACTGGTGAATTTCTGCATACCAAGTGTGGTAAGCCAGAAGAACACCCTTTGCTACCATCCTTTGAAGTTGGCTCCAGAAAATTTTTCCGATTTCTTGGCCGTTGGAACAACAGTCCGGGTTGACGAGGCTATCGTTGTTACGCAACAGTGGAAGAAGAATTTCCGTTATCAATTGCCATTTCTCACTGTCAACAACAAAAGAGTTCAATTAATGGCAGAACCAGAACAGTAAACAATACTGTAATTAAAAATAAACAGTACGTATGATAAATAAAAACTGAAGTTTTTATATACAGTTTCACAAAAACGATGAAGCTTTTATGTTCTTCAAATCATTTTGTGAATTTCAATACTCTGATGAAGTTTTTATATCTTCAAATCAGAATAATAAAATTCAGAAGGAGTAGAAAACCACACAGGTTTTAATCTCCAATACAAAATATGATATAAATATAATTTCCTTAAGATTGTTATCCAATGTATTACCGTAATAACCAATAAAAAAAACATGAAACTTTCTGAAATAGAAACAGAAACAGAAAGTTAGTAGAAACAGTATGTCAAAATAATATCTGAAGATAATTTCGGAATAAATCGAGCCCACTGAATACACAGTGTGTCCTTAAGAAAATTATTCCCCTCAAGTACCCGAGGTGCTGGAATATATCCTCCCAGGATAGAACGATTTAACTCACCAGTGTATTGATACCAAAAACTCCGGTGAACTTCAAACCACTCAATGGTCGTTAAACACACTGGAAAATATTATGCAGAAGAAGAAAAAGATAATCAGAAAATTTAGTAAGTAAAGATTCTAGGATTCAAGACATATTTATAGACCATTTGGCACTGTTTCTGAAAAGGTTTGCAACCTTTCAGAAACAACCATAGATGTTGGAACAGGTGGGAAGAAACATTGCAAGAAAAACAGAAAACGGATTTTTAAAATAATCCGGGAAAGAAAACGGACCGGACCGGGTTATGGGTTATTCCGGATTGAAGAGCAATTGTATATATACCCATCAAAAGTCTTTTCTTCCTCCAATATGGGACAATGTCCCTTTGCCAAGGAGGGAAACTCAAATATTTCATTTTCCCTCCATTTTTCATTCACCCTCTCTAAGCTGCATCAAGCTTAAAAGCCTAACAACTACTGTCTAAACTTTGAGTCTTAGGGTGTCAATCAATACATATATATAATATATTATTTCGAAAATACCGAAGGCGTGCCACTTGCCGTGGCCAATTCTTCTTGAATTTCATCCCCGGGGCGCGCACACAAAAAAAAAAAAAAAAAAGAAACCAAGAAAAAGTAAATAAAACCAAAAGAAAAGGAAGACAAAAGTAGTGGCAGCTGAGACTATTTCCTCAATTAAGAGCAAAAGAATTGTCGTTAAAATTTGAATGAAGATTTTGAATCCATCTATATACGCAGAACAGTTCATGATTGGACAAAGTATTTGTTATTGCATGTAGAAGCCCCACATATTTGAGACTTTATTACTGAAAGGTGCTGTACTATGACTAATTAGCTCAGGAAAAAGAAAAGAAAAAGGAATTTTTCCTCCTTAAGATCATTTTTTGCAACTCCTAAACTTGACCACCATCATACCCATCCAAAAAATGACTCACTGACCAGATCTAGTCACATAAAGTCTACGCCTTTTATTTTTCTTATTTTATATATCTATCTTTAATACTTTTTAATGTATCTATATATATAGGGTAAAAAATATGCGCATCTAATTCAAAATGATAAAATATGGGTAAGTACATTAAATATTCATGTAATAACTCACTTATGAAGAGGAGCCTGTAAAATTATTTTCGTGTGATTTATATGTTACATGTTCGAACTGTGAAAGTAATGGTGGAACTAAAATTTTTACTAAGGGGTATCAAAATATAAAAAATTAAATATACACGAAATTAAGTAGGTTCTACATAAAAAGTTTTTTAATATATTTGCACAGTGTAATTTTTCGGCAAAGGGTGTCGCCTTGGATGCATGTGGTTCCACCACTGCGTGGAAGCAGTCATTAATGCTTTTATTAGCGTAGACCGTATATAATACCCCTCGAGGTGTAGCCTTTCCCCAAATCCTACATGAATACGGGAAGCTCTGTGCACCTAGCTGCCCTTTAATATAACTCACTTATATATACATTCCTTATATTTTAAAATTAAACACTCTTATACAATCAAATCTCTCTATAACAGTCTCGTGTGTTCCGATATATTTTGGCTGATATAGTGAAGTGTTATTATAGAGGATATATATTATAATATGATACAAATATTGGTTGACAAGTGAAGGTTGCTCAGTTGGTAAAGCACCTCAACCCACGGCCGTTAGGTCCTAAACATCAACATGCAGTCGGCTAAAGGAGAAGAAGCGAAGACCGAGTCTTACGACTAAGCGCCAGTTCACTACTAACTATACACTTCAGTAGTATGAATTTTGAGTTTAATTAATGCTTAAGAAAACAATTGAAAACAGAAAGCAGCCAGCCAGTCATCCATTGCCAAGAAAATTAAACGTGTTTGACCATTTAATATCATTTGGTCTTACTAACGCCTTTTTAAAATGGAGGACCAGCTGGCATTCGCCCACTCTCGTTCCAATGCTTATATGCCAATCGACCAACCAATTTTATATTTTGTCCTTTTCATTTCCTTGTTATTTTTATCTTAAGCGCCAAACAAAAGCTAGCAAAAATTATTGAGGGTGTGTTCAATAGTATGACAAGGTTTACTAGGAAATGTTTTTACAATTTTAGTATTCCCTCGATTTTAATTTATATAGCACTATTTTCTTTTTAAGTTGTACTAGAAATGATATCTTTCCTTTTTCTAGGAATAATTTACCTTTTAACCTTTTCAGTTTGCTCTTAATCATATGATTTTATAGCCATACAAATCTCATGTCGTATTAAAAATCAAAATTTTCAATTTTTTTATATTTTTATTAAACTTTATGGACAACCAAATGTTTCATACAAAAGAAAAAACGGATAAGTATTATTACAAAAAAGAAACTATTTGGACATAAGAATTTTTTCACTTTTTTCGATTTTTTTTTCTTTTTTCAAATCAGTATTTGACCATAAATTTTTCAATTTTCATTTGAAGATGAATTTCAAAAATTTGATAAACTTCAAAAAGCTGTTTTCTCAAAATTTTCACTCAGAGCACTATAAAAAATTCAAAAACAACTCAAAATTTTATTCATGTCCAAACACATTTCTAATTTTCAAATACCATTTTCACTTCAAAAAGAATTTTACTTTTTTTTGAAATTATACAATTCTTTTGTCCAAACGCCCACTATAATGTCATGTCTAAGAACAAGTTTTGTCTTCGTTTTCCACCGCCACTTGCATGGCGCGTTGGCGACTTATTCTTTCAAACAAGAACCAACGTAGTAACGTTAATATAAATGTCCCGCTGCACCCAAATTTACGTAGCAAACAAACTATAATCTGCAAATCAAAATCAAAGCAAAATTAAAGAAAGAAAGCAAAAATGCCTTGTGCAATAGCATTAACAAACTCTCCAATCTTCTCACCATCTCAACAAACACCAAAAATACTTTCGCCATTTTACTGTAAACCATCATCTCTATCATCGCCAGTAAATCGCAATTCGTTTCATGCATCGTCGTCTTTATTATCTCCATCACCAAAATCACCTCTATCGCCGTTGACTTACAACAGAAATCTCAGAGAAGAGGCGGAGAGGGAGGTGGCGGTGTGTTCCACGTCATCATCGTCGTCGTCGACGATTTTGAAGAGGAAAAGGCCGGCGAGGATTACGATTCCGATTTCGTCGTTGAGTTTAGAACAGGTTGATCAAACGCCGAGGGAAGAGATTAGTAGGTTAGATGAAGTGGAAGTTGAAGGAGAAGGATACTCTGTCTATTGTAAAAGAGGGAAAAAAAGAGGTGAAATGGAAGATCGGTATTCGGCCATAGTTGATGAATCTAAGGACGGCTCTAAACAGGTATAATACTTATTTGCTAGAAATGTTTGCTTATCTCTTACTACTTTATTTACAGTTCCAATTTAAGATTTCTGAAGAAGGATTTAAGTTATATACACTGACAGTATAAAGATTTCCTGGCGCTTTGATCGATTGTTTATTAGTTATCATTTTAACTAGCTAAGTCATCAATTAATGTTTATCCTGGCGCTTTGATCGATTGTATGTTAGTTATCGTATATGACCTGATTGTGTAGTACATATAATTTAAACTCTTTGAAGAATAACTTATCACTTATGCCTATATGTATTGATGGGTATCACAATCTTCAATTGAGAATTCCAATATTGGGTAGTGAATTTTGCCTAAAGATGGGTACATGGTAGTTTTTGAATGTTGATAGCTTGCTTGAAATGATATAGGTCCAAATAGAGCTGAATTGATACTGCAAAAACTTGTCCCAAAGTTTGTCATTTATAAGATTAAATTAAACTGGTAAACAACACGATTCAAAATGAATAAATAGAAGTTCAACTCCATTAAACAAAATTTATTGAAGCGTAACCATCTCATCTAAAAGCTTAAAATGTTAGAGAGAGCATACTTTATTTACTTAGTCATGTCTTCGGTAGAGTTAATTAACTCAATTACTACTTTGTTGCATATAATAAGCATAGGTAAAGAAAATTTGATGAACTGGTGTAATACTTACAAAAAGCAATATTCCCAACTGAATTAGATATATTTATTTATTTCACGTGATATATTCCTATGCTGAGTGTTATTTACCCTTATTTTAGGCCTTTTTTGGTGTATTTGATGGACATGGCGGAGCAAAAGCGGCCGAGTTTGCAGCAAAGAAATTGGGCAGGAACATTATAAATGAAGTAGCGTTACGGAGTGAAGACGGACTTGAAGAGGCAGTTAAAGAGGGTTACCTCACTACAGATACAGACTTCCTAAAGCTGAATACAAATGGAGGGAGTTGTTGTGTTACAGCACTGATACAAAATGGACAACTTATTGTCTCAAATGCCGGTGATTGTCGCGCTGTAATGAGCAGAGGAGGCGTAGCAGAGGCGCTCACAGTCGATCACCGGCCTTCTAGGCAAGATGAAATGGAAAGAATTCAAAGCCTGGTAAGAAACAATGACTATTTTTCAAGAACATCGATTGTGGAAATGCTGTGAAACGGAATTATTTGAAACCGTCTATGTTATATACTTATGTGTTTTTGAAAATTTATTTGCAGGGTGGATATGTAGATTGTTGCCGGGGTGTGTGGAGAATACAAGGATCTCTTGCTGTGTCAAGAGGAATAGGAGATTCCCATCTTAAGAGATGGGTAATAGCTGAACCAGAGACAAAAATATTGAACCTTGAACCAGAATGTGAATTCTTGATCCTTGCCTCTGATGGACTTTGGGAAAAGGTATGTTAATTTGAATGGTAGTACTAGAATGTATCTTTTGAAGCTGTGAGTAAAGGGCCGGCTAGGGAAGGACCGCATCCCTGGGGGTATGATGTGGACAGCCTACCCTAATGCAAGCATTAGTGGCTACTTTCACAGGTTGAACCCGTGACTTATAGGTCACACGAAAATAACTTTACCATTGCTCCAAAGCTTCCATTCATCTTTTGAATTTGAAGCTGTGGATAAATCCAAATTCTCTAAGTTTAAATTGTGTAAAGAGATTGGGAAATTGGGATCTAAATTTTCCTTTTGTATAATATTTTTCAGGCTAGTAATCAGGAAGCAGTGGAGCTAATTCGACCTTTGTGCATAGGTGTTGATAACCTGCAGCCATTATCTGCTTGCAAAAATCTTGTTGATTTGGCAGTAATAAGAGGATCCTCTGATGATATAAGTGCAATGGTCATTCAACTAAGTCAATTTGTTCAATAAGCAAATGCTAGGAAGAATTAATCTGCTTGAATGATGAAGTAGCTGGTGTTCAGGTTTTGGTCACTTGCAAAACCATGGAAGTTCACAGGCTAAATTATCAGATATTTTGATTCTTAATCAAGTTTAACAGGTATAGTTATTAGTGTCATATGTAATTTGCTGGATAACTACAAATGCTAAGGTCACGAGTTAGAGTCGTGGAAGCTGTCATTAATGCTTGCATTAGGTTAGACCGTCTACATCACAGCCCTAGGAGTGCAACTCTTCCCGGACCCTGGTGAATGGAGAATGCTCTATGCACCGGGGTGCCCTTTAACTACAAATGCTAAGGTGTTAGAATTAGAGGGCAATTGTTGATGAACATATGTGTGTTATCTACTAGATTCCTTGGATCATCTGAGGTCAATTCAATTTGGATAGGCTTAACAGGTTACTTGTTAGACACTAGTTTTGGAAGCAAATTATTTAGACTATAGAAGGCATGATTTTCCTGTATATTTTCCCCCATTCCGGGATGACTTGTAAACCTTAATTATCAAATTTAGATATGAAATATTAGAATTTAATGACTTATGACCTTTTTGCTTTATTTTATTAAAGGTTAAAGTCCTATTTTAAATATGAGTTTATTTTTAAGACGTGCTTATGAAAATTGTTATAATTAGGTGCACAAAGCAAAACTCTAGAAAATAAAGAATAAGAAGAACAAGAGCAACTCCAACTGAATTTGCTGAAATTTTGTTCATAAAAAGTAATCGAATCCTATGCCAAAGAAGATCAATTGAATGTGAAAAAGATAAAGGAAAAAAATATAACTTGTCAAGTGCGTAAATTTTACGAACGATAAACAATGTAACAAAACATAGAAGAGAAAAATAAAATCTGAACATGAATGAGAAAAATCACAAGATTATTTTGTACCAAGTGCGATTTAAATATGCTGAGATTTTGTTCGCAAGATTTTTCATAAAAAGAAAAGAAACTTGTTAAGTGTTAACTGCATAAATTCTATGAACGATAAGACAATGTAATTAGAAATAGAAGAAAGCAATGGAATTATGTTGAATGGGAAAAAGCAACAAAATTACTTTGTCAGAAGTGGGATTTGAACCCACGCCCTCTCTCGAAGACCAGAACTTGAGTCTGGCGCCTTAGACCACTCGGCCATCCTGACTGAATGTTCAAAGTTCGAACCCATTCATATTAATAATAATAATAACACAATCAGAATTAATATTGGGTATATTCTCGTCACATTAACAAGTTTAATATTTTTACATTATCAAGTCATCTAAAGATAATCAAATATATGTACAACATATTACCTTCATCCAATTTATATAGTATTGTTTAACTGAGCAAGTCATCTAAAGGTAATTAAATATATGTACAACATATCCCCTTAGTCCCAATTTATATGGTATTGTTTGAATGAGCATATAGTTTAAGACAAAAAAAAAATACTTTTGAATCTTGTTTAAAAAAAAATAAGCCATAGATATTACTAACTATTCATAATAGTGAAGGATAATTGACTATTCATAATAGTAAAATTACTAACATAAAAAATTATATAAATAGTCTAATACTTCATGTTAAATTACACTGTGTAAAAAATTTATTTACTCATTGATATAAGATAATGGAAAATTTACGTTGTACAACCGCTTTCAAAATAATAATCGTATATATATATATATATATATATATATATATATATATATATATATATATATATATATATATATATATATATATACACACATTCTGTACATTTTATAAAAAAATTATATAAATTTTATATACTTTTTCGGCTATCAAATATAAATAATTTTTGGGACGAGCTAAAAGTGATAATACCCTAACATAAATCCATTTAAATTTTTGTCTTATTTGATAAGTTCAATAAGTAGCAAGTATTTTCAGCTACATATGTGTCTTTTTTCCTTTAATTCGTTCTTTCAGATCCCATTATCCCATTTCATTAACTTTAATCTTTTTTTAACAAAAATTAACTTTAATCTCAATATTTTCTTTTTGACACGGACGCACACTAGAGAATTCAAATTAAACCTCTTTACCAATTCATTATTTTTTTCCAAAACGAAAACTCCATTTTCACCATCGTCGTATATTATCACTTCCCCACTCCTTCTCTCTCTTCAAAAGAACTCCTTTCTCTCTCTAGATCTCTTTCCTCTCGGAGGATTCCGAGGGTTTCTTCTTCATCGGAGATCTTCCATTCGCAATCCCCTACAGATCTCGCCGTCATGGCGGCCGCTAATGCTCCGATCACTATGAAAGAAGCCCTAACGGTAGACTATTATTCATGTTTAACTTTTTTTTCCAACGATTTATTGCAATTTCATATTGACAGTTTAAAATTGATTGATTTTCCTACTCTTACTAGTGTTTCACGTGTGAATTGTTGCTTAGTACTGTGATTTGAGTTTGATTGAAGATCTGAAACCCTAGGCTATGATATTGTCTTAAATATTTGAACTTTAGTTTCTATCTGATACTAGAATCTGGATTTAAATTTTTATTTTAATACGTCAGAAATGTAGCTCAGAACTTTGATATTAGTTCATTGCCAGATCTGAATCCTAGGTTATGATATTATTTTGAATTGAGAACTTTATGTTTCTATAGTGAATTTAAAATCCAGATTGAATTTAGTATTCTTATTAGTATTTCTTGCAACTTGGTACAAGCTAAATGTAGCTTAGAACTGTGATTATTTTGTTGCGAGATCTGAGGCCTTGGTCATGATATTATTTTGGATTGATAACTTTAGTTTATATTTGAATTATAAATCTAGATTGAATTAGGCATTTTAATATGTCTGAAATGTGGCTTAGAACTGTGATATTAGTTCATTATAAGATCTGTGACCTCAGTTATGTCTATGTGAATTTAAAATCTGGATTGAATTCGTATTCTTATTAGTGATTTGGTAGCTTAGCATGTGTGAATTGTGTCTTTGAATTGTGATATTACTTCATTACCAGATCTGTGACCTATGTTAGGGTATCATTCTGGATTGAGAACTTAAGTTTTATGTTTATCTAAAATCTGGCTAGAATTTCATATCTTTATTAGTGTTTTATGCAAAATATCATGTGTGAAATGTGGCTTAGAACTGTGATAAGTCATTACCAGATGTGTGACCCAGGGTATGATATCTTTTTGGACTGAGAACTTAAGTTTCTACATGATTTTTAAATCTGGACTGAATTTCGTATTCATGTAACTTTTTCTGTGAACATAGTATGTGTGAAATGTGGTGTGAAACTACTTAATTACAGATGCAACCTAGGTTATGGTATTGTTTTGAATCTAGAGAGCAAGAGTATATGCGAATTTAAATATATGACTGAGATTTCGTATTCTTGTTAGTGTTTCTGGCAACTTAGCACGTGAGAAATGTGGCTTAGTTCATTACCAGATCTGCGCCTAGGTTATAATATTCTCTTGATTCGAGATCTTAAGTTCTATTTGAATTTAATGTCTGGAATTTTGTTTTCTTATTGGTGTTTCTGGAAACATAGCACGTACAAAATGTGGCTTAGAACTGTGATTTTAGTTTATTCCCTGATCTGTGACTTAGGTTATGATATTATCGGGAATTGAGAACTACATTTTCTATGTGAATTTAGAATCTGGATTGGATTTTATGTTCTTATTTGTTATTCTGGCTGCTTAGTACGTGTGAAATTTGGCTTTGAATTGTGACATTATTTCATTACTGGCTATAGGTTATGATATTATTTTGTATTAAGAACCTGAGTTTCTGTGCACCCAAGCCCTAGTGGTCAATGTAGTGGGGAGGAAAACCATGAGTGTCTTAGAGCCCATTTGGCCGAGCTGCTAAAAACTGCTAATTTTGAAAAGTATGTTTGTTCAAAAGTGATTTTCGAAAAAGTACCTTTGGAGAAAAACAAGTTGTGTTTGGCCAATTCATTTGAGAGGTGCTTTTTGCAATATCTGATAAGCAAATTGTGTTTAGTCAATCTTTTCAAAAAGTACTTTTTAGCATCAAATTACAGAAAAGGACAGTAAAAGTTTACTTTACAATCAATATTATGTAAGACATATTTATTATAAAATAATTTGATTAGTTTTTATTTTTATTCAGTTAAAATATAAAATATAAAGTAAAATATATATTAAAGATTTTAAACAACATAGTTATGCAGAATAATAATATTGGGTATCTAGTATTAATATTTATGGTTTAAATGATGAATTAAATATATCAAAATACATCATTAATTCAGTATACATTAAAAATTTACTCCATAATTCACTATCTAAATGTAAAAGAAAGATTTATTTATAATAGAGAGACTGTTCCAATGAGTAATAGTAGAAGGAAAAAGAAGTATGGTTGAAATAAAAAAGAAAAGAAAGGGATGATAGAAACAAAAAGAAAAAGGAAAAAGTTAAATTAACGAGGGATTTTATGGTGAGCATATTTTTGTCTCGAAAAAATTAATTTTCTGCTTCTGCTTCCACCAATAAGGTAGAATTTGTAGCTTCTTCCCAAAAGTAGAAAATTGCTTCTGCTGCTGCTCAAAAGTAGTGTCTTGGCCGAACACCTTAAATTTTCGAAAAAGTGCTTTTCTGATAAAAAAAGTACTTTTGGCCTACTAGAAGCCTGGCCAAACAGCTCTTACATTCAAATCTCGGCGGAGGCAAAATACCAGTAGGGCGATTTCCTTCCATCTGCCTAGCTTTTGGTGGGCAGAATAACCCGGTATCGTTGAAGTAGTTGAGGTGCGTGCAAGCTAGCATAGCCACCACTACCATCCAAAACAAAGAACTTAAGTTTCTTTACGAACTTAAAATCTCTTCCTATTCTTAGTAGTGTTTTTGACAACTTGGCACGTCTGAAATGCGGCTTCGAACTTTGATATCAGTACACTACCAGATCTGTGACCCACGTAAGGATATCATTTTGGACTGAGATTTTAAGTTTCTTTATGAATTATATAGCTAGATTGTATTTCGTGTTCTTATTAGTGCTTTGGCTTCTTATCACATGTGAGATGTGGCTTAGAACTGTGATAGTTCGTTGCCGGACTGCGAGCTAGGCATTGAGCCTTTGGTTTTTATTCAAATATAAAGTTTGGATCGAGTTGTGTTCTAATTAGTTTTTTTGACAATTTAACGCGTGTGGAGTGTGGCTTAGAACTATGATATTAGTTCATTCCCAGATTTAAAATATGGATTGAGTTTTTCTTGTGTCTGTCGGTGTTGCAGTTGCAAAGTATAGGGGTTAATCCGCAGTTCATCACGTTCACCAATGTTACCATGGAATCAGATAAGTATATATGTGTTCGGGAGACTGCACCGCAAAATAGTGTGGTGATTATTGATATGAACATGCCTATGCAGCCATTGAGGCGTCCAATTACGGCAGACTCTGCTCTTATGAATCCTAATTCCAGAATTTTGGCTCTAAAAGGTATTTGATATTTGCTAAGAATTTTTAATGGTTGTATTATTAGCTCAAGTTATTGTTTCATATAAAGTTGCGGTGACAATTTCAGACATGCTAGTGCTATTTA